AACAGAAATCCCAAACCCCCCCACCCCCCGCTGCCATCACCCTCAGCCAACACCCTTTCTTTCTCCCTCAGTCTGTATAAAAGCCTCTCAGCTCTTCTCCCTGCTCTATTCCTGTCCCCAACATCATGTGCCAAGGTGAAGCCGGATATTTAATGTAATCATTTATTACCAGATAAAACAAAATATAACAGCAAAAACCAAACAAACAAAGAAACAGCTCCAAAGTCTCCTTATTCCACTCAGAATCAAACTGAAGCTTGCTTCCGTGGCTAACACGACCCTTCATTTCCTGGACCCTGCCCCCCGACCTTGACTTTCCGATCCCCACTTGCTGATCACCCTGCGCCCAGAACCCTCTGCCCAGACCTTCCAGGGCAAGCCCCTCCGCTCCCGCAGCAGGATGCGGGAGGCCTTCTCCACCCACCAGTGCAGGTTTGTTCCGGCCGGGCCCCCACCACTCTCCATCACACCCTTCATTCCCTGTTGGTCAGCCAGGGTCTGTCTTCTACTGGAAAGAAAGTGACACGAGAGCAAAGACCCTGTCCTCCTTACCCACCAGGACGTTCCTGGTGCCTAGAACAGTGCCTGGCACGTGGTAGACACCCAATAGGTATTTTATTTAAAATAGTTATTTAATAAATGAATAAAACAAGATGGAAAAACACAACAGGAAAGGGTAGGAATGGGAAACATAGGCCCTGAGACAGAGGAAGTTTTCTCAAACTACAGAGAAAAAGAAGAACAGCAATCTGAAGTGGTAAATTGCTTAACAGTATGAATTGAATTTCCATCTTTATTAAATTCTGACTTGCCCATGGCTTGAGCTATTTTAGAGTCAACCTAATTTAGTGAGTCCTTGTTGTGATAAATTGATGTTAATTTTCATGGCTAGGTTTGGAATATTTTTAAAAAGAAGGAAAATCCCATACTTTAAAGATTTTCCTGCATCCTCAAGAACATTTCTGAGAGGCAGAGTCCCCTGGGCTTTCTCCCATACCTGTGCCGTAATAAATTCCTATCACACACAAAGAGCAAGGAGAGACTGCAGGTGGAAGGTAGAGTGCTCTCCTCCCTGAGAAAACAAGGGCCGGGATCTCCATGCAAGGTTCTTCCAACAGAAAATCAAAACGTTTGCTCTTGAGTCTTCGCAGGACCACACCTCACCCCCTGCGTCTAAACAACAGCAGATAGCAGGGCTTTTTCTAGCTACTCCTTTCTTATCTGATCTAATACAGGGAAGGAAAGTGGGAGGCAGAGAAACGAGGGGGGGGGGTAACAAAAATCCACTCAGGGCCTCAGTTCTCCTATCGGCCCACAAAGGTGATGCTGGACGGTGAAAACACACAGTTAAGGAGCCCAGCCCAGTACCTCATCATGGACCACACAGCTCGAGGAGACACCGGGAACCCGCCGCTCTTGGGTTCTGCTGGCAGTGGGGAGTGGCAGCCACTCCAAGCGGCTTTGTGAGGGAACCGCTGCTGCTTGCCATTCCGCCGGAGGGGGGGCGCTGGCACAGAGGAGGGCTGGGGGCTCCCAGGCTGCTGGGCGCTGCGCTGATGGATGGCCCCGTTGCTCCTAAATGAAGTCAAACAGAATGACAAGGCTTGCAACAAGGAAGAGCAGTCCTCTGTCCCACTCCAAAGTCCTGCTCCTGGAAGCAACTATTCTCAAGGGTTTTAGCTCTTTTGTTTCTGGTATGGACCACAGTATTTTAAAAATAGCATAACTATATTATTTTCTCTTTTTTAAAATTGTAGGACATATTATTATATTGATTTCCTAATACAGAAAACTAAGACTCAGTCCCTCCTATATAGTCACCAGCACACGCGCACACACACGCACACACTTCTTCACCCCTCATCCTCCATATAAATTCCTCTCGTAATATTTGATGGGTGTGGTATTCGGGGTTTGCATAATTATGATCTTGTAAAACACTGTTCACAGCTGATCCATCCAAAGTACTGTGAGTACACGTTTCTTTCATGAATCTTCTGAGATACAATTTATAAGGACTGGATGGGCAAAAACTGGGAAAGTGTGATCCCACCAAGTGATGAGGAGAATGTGGAGCTAAGGGATCCTGAGACAGTGCTACGATCACTTCAAGAGCTTGTCTCAACACATGACACAGTGACCATGCACCGATCTGTGGTCCCAGCAACGCCACTCCTATGGTCAGCCCCAGAGGAGCCCATGTGTATTTGCACATGAAAATCCACTGCAGCATAGTTTACAATAGCAAAAATTGTGAAAATAATCTAAATTCCCAAATCAGAAAACTGGGTAAATAAATTGGGATAAGTAAGTACCATACAACAGTTAAAACGAAGGGAACTATAGCTACTTGTATCAACAATGATGTATCTTAAAGCCTAATGTTAGATGAAAAGAAAAGCCAGTGATACCATTTATATAAAGTTTGAAAATATGTTAAATAATACTCTTTGGTATTCACTGGTATATACATACGAAGTAATGGCATAAAAATAATCATAGAAATGAAAAGCGTCAGATGCAGGGTTGTGGTTACTTTCAGAGAGAGTGGTTAGGGACTGGGGTCAGGGAATGTTATTCTCTGCATGTCGGAAATTATATCCTAATTTTTAAAAAATAAATAAACTTAACTTTCAGGAGCTCATCTTTCACTAAAAACATTTCTTCCTGAAGGTGATGTGAAATAAAAGAAACCCCACTCCATCTGTGTGGTCCCCTTAAAATTTAGGAGTAAACTGCTCTTCATGCAGGAAAGCGCTTCCAACATTTGTTTCTGTTACTGTTTCCTTCCTGCTGCCTGAATCATACAAGAAGAGACCTTGAGAACCACCTAGTGCCAAAATATTTATTCTAAGTTAGCAAATAAAGTGGGGTGTAGATCCCTAAGAGTTTGTGAAAACTGTGTGTATACTATTCTGGGAAATGGGGATACAATTTTGTGAGATTCTCAAAGGGTCAAAACCCCCAATAAATACATTCAAAACGTCAGGGCTGGTTTCATGATACAAATGTGAGCTCAATTCCTGAGCAGCGGATGCCCTGGGAGGTCTCCAGGTCCTTGTTTTCTGTTCCTCCCAGGGAGGCGGGGATGGCTCAGAGGTAAACCTGTGACTGGAGTCACAAAGACAGGGGTCCTCATCCTGGCTCCACTCAGGATTGGGTGACTGCAGAGGTTATTTTCTGTGCCTCTATCTTCTCCTCTGCAAGATGAGGGCAATGGTTGTGAGCGTTGTGTGACTTCATGCCTGTAAATGGCCTGGCACACGCAATGCCTGGTACATGGCCAGACCTGGGCCATCGTGGCCCAGGTCTCCCTGTCACACGCCCTGGGTTCCTTCTCACCACGTTCAGAGCTGTAATCAGTTACTCACGTAATTACTTATGTAATGTCTCCCCCAGTACTGTATATGCTCTTTGAGGGAAGGAATCTTATCTTTTATTCTTGGCCAGGTACATAATGAGTCGGACAGAAGGATGCAGGAAAAAATGAACGTCTCCGCTTATGCAGAGCTGCGGGTTTTGAGAGCTGCAAGTTACTTAAAAAAAAAAAAAATCACAGATTGTGAGCTGTGCAACTTCTAAGCGACATACTGGCATACCATTCCTTCCACAGACCTTCTAGCAGCTCATGACGGAGGCCAAGAGAGGTTATTAAAGGAATAAAAGAAATAATTATCCCTCTTGGAAAAAGCCCGGCTCAACAGAAACCAGACGAAGAATGAAGGAGTACAGGCAACACTGGGCTGGCAGTCCCAAGACCAGAGGAGACGTGACGTCGATGATGAGGCTAAGTGGCTCTGGACAGGACTC